TTTTTTTGCCTCCCCACAAATCGACCCGGCCTACTGTCCGTCCATTTTTAGTGAGTGTCCGTTATACGGTGTTTACATGAGGCGATTTGACAGGCAACTTTTAGTTGAAAGTAACAATCGCCTGGTGTGAACGGCCTTTCGACTAACCGCTTCCAATGAAGTTGGGGGGCGGGCAACTTTTCATTCGACTAATTGCCTCTAAAATTTCTTGTAAAATCGCCTCATCTGAACAACGCAACACTTTGATAATTATCAATTATAATTCATGTGTAAATATTTACTTTCCCCTATAACTGCATTTAGCCGCTCCTTCAGGAAAAATCAATTAGTTTTTGTTTATTATTATTGCAATCGATAGTTCGTCGATTATCCTTCACTGTTCATCCTTTATTAAATGTTTTGCTTCTGCCAAACATATACTTATGTATGTACTTATAACCATTTTATATACCCGAGCGCACTTGTGCACAAGGGTATTATAACTTTGTTCACATAACGGTTGTTTGTAACAGGCAAAACGAATCGAGATAGATATAGACAAATGTATACATAAATGATCAGGATGAAAAGATTATTCGGTTAAGCGGTGACTGTCCGTCCGTACGTCCGTCTGTGCACACGATAACTCGAGTAAAAATTAATATATCTTAACGAAACTTGGTATGTGTACTTCTTTCGGGCGTAGGACAGATGGTATTGAAAATGGAAAAAATCGGACAATAACCACGCCTACCTCCCATATAACGGTAATTTTCAGAAATAGAAAACTGCGATATTTTAGTAACTACTGAAGATTATTCACTCAAAATTGATATTTACAATAATTTTTAGACGAAAAATAAGAATATTATAAATTTTTGAAAAAATAGGCGTAGCCACGCCCACTTATGGTTAAATTTGTATATCTTGGCAACCGCTGCATCGATTTCTTCCAAACTTGGCACAGGATACCAAATGGCCGAAAATTTTTAAAATCGGCCAATAACCACGCCCACATCCCATATAACATTAATTTGGAGAAATACGAAATCTTCGATAAATCAGTAAATATTAAAGCTAATTTATTCAAAACTAGCTGACCCGGCAAACTTCGTCCCGCCCAAAATTTTTATTATTTTAATGAAACTTTTTGGTCCAACATTTTCACCAAATTCCGCTCTAAATATCCTAAGGAAAGTGTCATATCCGTACGGTGACCATCCGTTCTCTTTTTTGTGGACCGTACTGTTTTTCAAAGGTCGGTCCTGCGTAGTTTTTCAAACCTGAAAAACCTGAAAATGTACTAATTTTTTCCAAGTGTCCTGCATTTGTCCCGCATTATCGGACAGTGGATGGATTTTTTTAAAATGTGTTTTTTGGTACTTTTCGTAGCTTTTCTTCAATATCTCATCAAAAAATCTCCAAATCAACGTAAGCGACTTACAGGTCGAAGGGTATTGATGTGGCTCTTGTGGCGACTTCAATGAAAATTATTAGTGCTACAGGCGACCATTTGCATTTTGTCGTCAAAGTCGAAAAAAGTGAGAGTTTCATTTGATTATTTTTTTTATTATTTTAAAAATTCGATAAAGAAGATAATGAAAATCGGATTATAAATGTAGATGCTATGGAGGGCAATCTGCACAAATTGTATATTTTTGTAAAGGGCACTCGTTTACGTCGATTCATGACGGCGACTTTTGACAAATAACTGCGAAAAGTACCAAAAAACAAAAAAGAAGGGTCTTCTTTTTTTTTTGAACGACTCAAAATTTGCCTATAAAATAATCTTTTAAAGATTTTCACTTTTCGTGTAAGCTATTGTAATTATAATATGTCTTACTATATGTATTTATAAATATTCATGTAAAAAAAGATTAATATCGATGAAGAAAACGTGATTCATTGTTAAAGTTTAAAATGTATTAAGAATTTAGAATCATAAATACTCTTTTGATATTTTTATACTACGTAAATATATGTAG